AGCATCCCAGCCACACATCAGGTTCCTCAGCCTAGCGTTTCAGTGCCAGGAAGAAAAATTTCCACAATTTCTGGCTGTGAAAACCAGTGGAAATTACAGCTGAGTAAGACGGAAGGCAGTGGGAGTCTCAGGCGTTCCTCTTAAAGGACCCCGCACACAGACTTGCTCACTGACAGACTCATTGGGTCTGAGCTCCAGAGCTGGGGCAGCAGCCCAAAGAGTGCTGGGAACATATGGAGGGCAACTGAATTGTCTGGCTTCAAAGCGAGGGCTGAGAGGCAACTATCTTCCAAACAAAAGTACTGCAGAAGCCACCATTCCTTTGTTGAGTCCTCCCCGCTCCCAGTGGGCAGATGCAGGGGGTATGATAACTGAGTCTCCATTAATATGGCTAACACCATTAGCCCCACCCTGGTGTTCCCTGAGACCTTGCCCCGCCCAACTTGTGTGCCCACCCAAGCTGCTTCCAGTGATTTTTCCATACAAATGGCCTTCATTGGCACATGCTACAGACTTTCATAAAATCTCTCAAAAGTTTGCAAACCCAGATACGCAGCATTTGGCCCCTGTGTACCCCGTACCTCTTGCTAAGCAGCTCCCAGCCCAGAACTAGCGACAGCTGGCCTCGGTTCACAGCTTAGCCTCTCCTAGGCACCTCCAAGCCCAGCACGAGTGGCAACTATCTGCTGATCACTTTGTAACTCATACCAAGTGGCCCCAACCAGGACACAGGCAGCAGCACAGAGCCCCTCCCAAGAGGCCCCAGAACCAGCACAACTGGTGGCCAGCTTCAGACCACACCAAAGGTACCACCCAAGCACCTCCACAAAAGACACACCCAAGGGGCAGACTGGGCTGACACCAGAGCCCAGCTGAAGCCAATCCTGCTCTGTAGGGTCAGCCCCTGCACAACAGCTCCTCAACTGTAGTCATGGCCAGTCCTCAAAACCAATCAGACTGGGGGTCAGTCCCTTCCATTGACGTGCAAGCAGCAACCAAGGCTCAACTACAATAAGAGAACATAGAACCCACACAGGGACACACCTGGAACACCCGGCCAAGTTGACCAGGAAGATTGTACCACTGGGCTCCACAGGACGCCTACTACATAAGGCCACTCTACTAAGACTGGGAGACATAACAGGTCTACCTACTACATAGAAACAAACACAGGGAGGCAGCTATAATGGGGAGATTAGGAAACATGTCCCAAATGAAAGAACAGAACAAAGTTCCAGAAAAAGAACTAAACAAAATGGAAACAAGCACTCTACCAGATATAAAGTTCAAAACACTGGTAATAAAGATGCTCAGTGATTTCAGTGAGAACTTCAATAAAGAGTTAGAAAACATAAAAATAGAGATAGAAAATATATAAAAGAGCCAGTCAGAAATGAAGAATACAATAACTGAAATAAAGAATACATTAGATGGAATCAATAGCAGATTAGATGAAGCAGAGGATCAAATTAGTAATTTGAAGATAAGATAGCAGAAAACATTCAATCAGAACAGCAACAAGAAAAAAGAATCCAAAAAAATGAGAAGAGTTGAAGGGGCCTCTGGGACATCAAGCATCCCAACATTCTCATAGGGGTACCGGAAGGAGAAGAGAGAGAGCAAAGAATTGAAAACCTATTTGAAAAAATAATGATGGAAAACTTTCCTAACCTGGCAAAGGAAGTAGATGTACAAGCCCAGAAAGCGGTGAGTCACAAACAAGATGGACACAAAGAGACCCACACCAAGACACATCATAATGAAAATACAAAAGTTAAAGACAAAGAGAGAATCTTTAAAGCAGCAAGAGAAAAGCAGTTAGTTACCTACAAGGGAGCTCCGATAAAACTGTCAGCTGATTTCTCAACAGAAACTTTGCAGGTCAGAAGGGATTGGCATGAAATAGTCAAAGTGATAGCAAGGACCTGTGACCAAGATTACTCTACCTAGCAAAGCTATCACTTAGAGTCAAAAGACAGATAAAGAGCTTCCAGACAAGAAAAAGCTAAAAGAGTTCACCAAACCAGTATTATAAGAAATGTTAAAGGGGCTTCTTTAAGAAGAAGGAAAAAAATAAAAATATATGAATAATAAAATGGCAATAATTATGTATCTAGCAACAATTAGTTTTAATGTAAATGGATTAAGTGCTCCAATCAAAAGACTTAAAGTGGCCAAATAGATATGAAAACGAAACCCTTACATATGCTGTCTACAAGAGACTCACTTCATATCAAAAGACATATTGGAAACAAACAAAAGAGCTAGGGTAGCAATACTTTTCCCAGACAAAATAGACTTTAAAACCAAGGCTAAAATAAGACAAAGAAGGACCCAGTAATCTCAATTCTGAAGAAACCCAAACAATACTTCAAAGGAACATGTGCATCCATATGTTCATTGCAGCATCATTTACAACAGCCAAGACATGGTGGCAACCTGGGTGTCCATCAGTGGATGAATGGATAAAGAAGAGGTGGTATCTATATAATGTAATATTACTCAGCCATAGAAAAGAATGAAATCTTGCCAACTGCAATAACATGGGTGGACCTAGAGGGTATTTTGCTGAGTGAAGTAAGACAAAGACAAACGTCATACGATTTTGCTTATATGTGGAATCTAGAGAACAGGATAAATGAACAAAACTGAAACAAGCTCATAGGCACAGAGAGCATTTTGATGTTTGCTGGATTGAGGCGGGTGAGGAGATTAAGAGGTAAAAATCGGTAGTTACAAAATAGTCATGGGGATGTAAAATATAAGCGGGGGAATATAGTCAGTAGTATCGTAATAACTATGTATGGTGTCAGGTGGGTACTGGATTTATGGGGGTGATCACTCTGAAGTTGTATAAATGTCTAATCACTGTGTTCTACACCTGAAACTAAGATAATATTGTATGTCAATTATAATTGAAAAATATAAAAATTTGTTTAAATGGCTATAAATTATGTAACTAAATGTAAATTAAAAACATGCACAAGACGTCTAAGTGAATGGAGATTTACCAAAATGATAAATGTGACTGGTTTAGGCTACTGTGACTGTTTTCTAAATGCTTTATAACATAGTTTTTATTTCTTTCTTAGAAAAATTGTGTTCATCATAAGTATATATTTTAAGAGACAATTAAAGTTGGAAAATACAGAAATGGAGACAAAACAAAATCACCTATAGCTTCACCACTGAAACATACCTACTGTTTACATTTTAGGATGCTGCTATTATTAGTCTTTTTTTTTTTTTTATCATGGAGTTTATGTGGTTTTTTAATTGTAATCATTCTTTGTAATTCTTTTATCATTTACTATCACTCTAGTAATAACTCTATGGCTTTTATAATACTGAAAATCACCCTTTAGACAAAGCTGTTTCCAGGAAACCCCAGTGTATCATTTAAATAAACCAAGTTCCTAGAAATCTGACTTTAAAATAACTTTTATATTTTATTTGTGCTATATGTTCATGTACATGGAGACATCTTCAAAATGGAACAGATGAAAACAATAAGAAGGAAAGAAAATAACTTTAGAATTAGAATTTTTTTTATGCAACATCAAACAAGCATATTGGGAGGTGATAGGAAGTTTTTCAAGGCAGGTACTTGCAGAGCCCAGCCAGGTGCCAGCGCCACCTAGTGGTTTTAGTTCAGAACGGTTTGTATTCTCTGCCCCACATCTGTGGATCTGGAAGCAGAAGCCCTGGGTTCTGGGCCTTTCTCCAGGACTCTGCCTATGCTTACGCTCCCAAAGATGTAACACTGACTACTGTCAGCACACAGATACCTAGGAAGTGTACAGATCGAAGTTTGCATTATATGCACCGAATGGGCACCATCTCAGAGTTAAAAAGGGCTCGTAGAATCTATAAAATGTAAAGTTCAAACTGTGAGACAGCATTTGGATCTCCAGCCCTTGGGCTGCCTCCAAATCATCATTCTTTTTACAAACCTCTTTGTTAAATAAATCTCTTCTCTATGTGTAATTCATTTAGCTTATTTATTTATTTTTTTTAAGTGTATGTTATTCCTTTCTCTCCGACCAAGATGTTTTGATCAAGTTCTTGGGAAGGCAGATTGTACAAGAGAAAACAGTCTGGTTTGTTAAAACCATAAAGGATGATATGAATCAGTTCTGCCACTTACCAGCTAAGTCACTTAATCTCTCAGAGCTCAGTTTCCTCATTCCTCAGATGGCAATAATCATAGATAGTTTCTTTGCTAGGTTATAATAAGGATTAGACATGCCTAGCCCTGTGCTTGCAGTGTAGGTGGTCAGTAAATTATAGCTATTTTTATGAGAGATCCTATTGTTGTTATATTGAAACAATTTAAAAATTCAGTTTATCAATTCTAGGACACACAGATTTTTCCCATTTTAACATTTCTGAAATCAGGATGTGTCAATGGTATGCTAGTGTTTTTTCTCTCTCAATAGTTATATAAAATAATGGTACTCCTTACATTTGTTAGTGTTTTAAATGAAACAGGGTAATCAGGTCAGCAGAGTGAAGTGCTCCAGGGAGAAGTGTTCTAAGTGCTTTTGGGTTGTGTCCGTACAAATCTGAAAGTGACATGTGGTCTCATGGTGACAATTCCCCCACTGCTCTGTTCCCAGTCTCAGACTTGAACATGTGAGGTACTATTTTTCTGAAGTTTATTTGGAAAGCGTATATTGAACCTTTTTAAATTCACTGAGATTGCACAGAGCACAGTTTATAATTCAGCAGCCTGTAGCATTCAGCACCACACAATATACATAAAGTGAATAGCGGTGGATTGTTTTGAAGAGAGTATGTCGGAGGGTGGGTATAATTCTTCCTCTACTTCTGCTGGTCCTCTGCTATGTAGACCGCTACTTTCTCTCCAGGGCTATATGAGGACTGAATGGGATGGTGCATGGAAAATACCTGGCACATATTCAACTCAATAAGTAACAGCTGATTTTACTCTCTATCTCCTTGGCAACTGCCCTAGTCTTTTTCTCTCTGTCTTTCAGTCTAATAAAGTTCCTGTTGTTCAACACCCACATCACATGCACCCGTTGACGCCCCTCATCACCTACAGCAACGACCACTTCTCCCCTGGCTCTCCTCCCACACACCTCTCCCCAGAGATTGATCCAAAGACAGGTGAGTGTGCTGCTTCTTGGGCTGGACCACATGTAAAGCTGGGGAGTGGGGGGCGAGGAGGCAGGCTTTTCTTCTCAGGGAGCATCCATTTGACTTGGATTTGAATCATGTCTCCGACTGTCAGTCCAGGATTTCCTGTATAGCCTTCCCCACCAACTTCAGTCTCTTCAGGATTTTCATCTGTGCCTTGTCTGTACCTCCTATACCACGGGGTGATTGTGGGAATAAAAGGAAATTAAATGAGATGATGCACAGGGCCTGGCTCCGTAGTGAGCATTTAGTGTTTCTCTGCCTCTGTTTCTTTTACTTTAGACTCTCTTAATACTTTGGGAATAGAACGAGCTAGAAGGGGGAAAAAACCCCTCTTTTTTCATTGACTTTGAAGTCTAGCCCACGACGGGCTGCACCTCCCTAAACCCAGGCCATTTCCCTAAACTTAACATTTTCAAATAGAGTAATCAAATCTAGCCAGGCTGTACAACAGCAAGTCTGAGTTGGCTCTTTTTTTTTTTAACTTGTTCACCAGAACTGTCTACCCCAAGGAACCATAGTTTTCATAAAATTCCCACAGAGTTGCCATGGCTCGAAGCATTTTTGGGAGCCTATCTTTAGAGAAATCACTGTTATTCAAGGTTACAGGTAGTAGAGAAGACAAATATGGACTAGGAATCCACTTTGTTTCTCCATGGATGAGACGGGTTTTCTAGAGAAGAGTTAGCTGATGACTCCAAGGATATCTTGGGTCTGTCAATCCAGGATTTCCTGTTCCTCTCTTGGATAATACTAACTCCTGCATAAGCAGCTGGAAGTTACTCCTGCCAATAGAAATGGGATCCACTAAGTCGGAGAAAAGCTATATTAGTCCTGCCTTCCCAGAATATGTCCTTGACCAATGGGCCAGCAGAACTGGGGAGGTGACAAAAGGCAAGGATAATGAAAGAAAGGGCCTTCTAAGCTCTGGAACACCTTGGGGACACACAAGATAAGGAACCTCCCGGATGATGTTATTTTAAGGTCTTGCAGTAGGGCCAGGGAAGAGTCTGACACATCTTTCTTTGGAAGCAGGAATCCCCCGGCCCCCTCATCCATCTGAGCTGTCTCCATATTATCCACTGTCTCCTGGAGCTGTCGGACAAATCCCCCATCCCCTCGGCTGGCTTGTCCCACAGTAAGGAAACCTGCAGCCTTTCTTACCCTTCTTCCTTTCTTGTGCTGAGTTCTGCCTTCTGTCCCTCCAGCCACCCCACTCCACAGGGGAGCCCTGTCATCAAAACGCAGGACTCAGACCTCCCTGCTCCCCCTCCTCCCTGCAGCTTCCTCCCAATCCTCGCTTACTTCCTACTTCCTGCCCTTTCTCATTCTCTCTTCCTAACTCCTCTCCTTCCCTGTCCTAAACATTCCCATATTAGCCAAGATGCTGACTAGATTTCCTTCTCTTGGCCCCTGCAGGCAAGGACAGCCCATGTACTCCCTTCCTCCTGGTGGTTTCCGGCACCCCTACCCTGCCCTCGCCATGAACGCCTCAATGTCCAGGTGAGTCTGGGGACAGGGGCTGAGAGCATGAAGTGGCAGTGCAGAAAATGGTTCTTTGCTAGTGTCCTTGCCATTTCTGACCATTAAACAGCTTTCTCTTGGCAGTAAGCCAGGAGGCGCGGGCTCACCTTTCTTCTCACCTCCTTTTGATAAGACTCCTGTCACATGGTGGGAAGGGCCTTCATGCCCACAGGGTCACTCCCAGTCTCTAAGAGAAAAATTTCAAAGCCCTAGCCCTCAACCTTCTGGCCACATCCCCCAACGTGCTGGGCTTTGTGGCACTGAAGCATTTTGAGTATAATCATACTGAAGCCAGAGACTGGAGATTAATTTATCCTGAAATGCTGTCAGGAGAAGGGACAGTAAAAGGGGATTTCTGCTACCAGTGACAAAGGAAATGCAACGTACATAATCCCTTATCTTTCTGTTGTGTACCCTGGCCACTGACCCATGACACCTTCTGTGTTTTTCATCCTATATCTGCTTCCAGGACCAGGTTTCCCAAACCTGGCTCTGTCCAGCAAGGTCAACGGCCTTCTGTTCCTCAAACTCTGCCATAGCAGAGGTATTTACATGCCTCTGCACTGAAGGCAGAGAGTCACCCACATCCTCTGCTGAGTGACAAACCTTCAGCCTAAATCTCTCTATTGTCCTTTGTTTCCACCTGGTACACAGCCTGGTTTCCAGTCGGTTCTCCCCTCACATGGTGGCTCCGGCCCATCCTGGTCTGCCCACCTCAGGGATTCCCCACCCCGCCATCGTGTCCCCCATCGTCAAGCAGGAACCAGCACCCCCCAGCCTGAGCCCAGCTGTGAGCGCGTGAGTAACAGGCAGCTTGGACTGGGAGTGGCCAGTCTCTGAGCAGCAGTCGCCGTTTATCATTCTCCTGTGGCGTTTAGCAGGCAGCACAGCCTCCCTCAGCCATGTCCTCTCCCCCTGGGAATTGTTCTCTTTGGCTCTCTGTGTGCCCATTCGCTCAGACATCACGCATCTTTTCTCGCATTAAAAAAAGGATTTAGAGGCTGCAAGAGAAGCTGAGAAAGCTTTTAGCTTCCCTCCCTGCAAAATACACATGAAAACGTGAGGCCCAGAAAGGAGAGTGTTCTCATAGTCGCATGACTGACTTGTGGCAGAGTTGAGATTAGCACCAAAGTCTCCATTTTTCCCACTGTCCCATAAAGGGCAGGAAAGCCAGTCAGTGCCTCAAGGCTGAGGAGAGCCCCGCCCCTTGTTTCTGCCCTCCCCACCTCCCCATCACCTTTAGCCAGTGCATCCCAGCTCTCACCACCACCCTCTGCTCCTTCATCAGGAAATTATCCTTTCATAGACTACGGCCTGAGGTGATTCAGAGGCTTGGAACTACTAGTGGAAGATGCTCAAGTGCTGAAAGCATCCGCGGGTCCCTTGAATCAGCATCAGTGATGCAGCTTATCTCCCCTCCCCGGAGGCAATGGGCTCGTAGTCGCATTGAGAGGCAGGGATTGGTGAGTTAGATGACAACTGATACATGCTAACCTACAGCTTTGCGACTTCTTAGGAAATCACCAGTCACAGTGAAAAAGGAGGAAGAAAAGAAACCCCACGTGAAGAAGCCTCTTAATGCCTTCATGTTATATATGAAGGAGATGAGGGCCAAGGTGGTGGCTGAGTGCACCCTGAAGGAAAGTGCAGCCATTAACCAAATCCTAGGAAGAAAGGTAAGATCTGCCCTTACCCTCCAGGCTGTGTGGTCAGCGTCCCCTGCACTCGCCTGCACTCACCAGTCCCTGTCATCTCTGACCCCCCTCTCACAGTGGCACAACCTGTCCCGAGAAGAACAAGCCAAGTACTACGAACTGGCCCGGAAGGAGCGGCAGCTTCACTCCCAGCTCTACCCGACCTGGTCGGCCCGGGACAACTACGTAAGTGCCCACTCAGATCCCAGAGCAGCGTCTGCAGGAGGAAAGGGGAGAAGGAAGTTGACGACGTGTACGGAGGACTCTTAAGGCCAAGGAGAAGTCCGTATATTCCCTAGAAATAAGGAAAGCATTTCATTTCTCGGGAGGTCAACAAGGACGTGGTTTTGGTGAACAGACTTAGATTTGTGCCCCTCATATCTGACTGGACTCAGCCTTTGACTCCCTCCTTCATGGCCAGTGTGAGCTGTGTGGCAGCTCTGGTGGTAGACTGTCTCTAGCCAAGGCTCCCTAACCTGGGACTCAGAGACCAGTGCATGAGCTCAGCCCACGTGTCTGATAACTCCCTGAAAGTAGGTGGATTTTTGTATGTATGTTTCTTATTTGCTTTGTTTTTCTGGTAAGAGGATTCGTAGATGTATTAGATTTTAAGTGGGACCTAGGACCCCTCATAAAAAGGTCAAGAAATAGAAAAACAAGCCTAAAGTGCAGTGAAAGGGTGAGGCCTTCCAAAAGACCAGCACACCCGAGTGGGAGGGGAAGAATCGAATGTAGAAGGGAGGCAGGGAGGCGGCGCCCCAGGAGGGAGCACTCTGCCTCCTGTGGGGCATGTGATCTGAGTGGTTCCCCCTTCCTATCTGGGCAACCCCCGAAAAGCCAGTTGTTCTGTCCCTGTTACCTCTTCCTTCTGGCCATATTTTTTTTAGGGTAAGAAAAAGAAGAGGAAGAGAGAGAAGCAGCTGTCGCAGACACAGTCCCAGCAGCAAGTCCAAGAGGCAGAGGGTGAGTCTCAAGGAGGGCACTGCCTCTTTTCTTCACCTTTCCGCTGTCACAGCTGCACCTGCCTGTGCATTAAACCCGGGTCTGTGACGTACACAATGACAAGGCTGCATTACAACAGCTGCCATTTTCAGGGGCTCCGCCTCATGGGAGCCTCCTGCATACTCAAGTGGGTGTTACTACTGTCCTCTTTTTGGAGATAACCAGTTACGAGGCTCGGAGAAGTCAAGGGATTTTCCCAGTCACTCTGCTTGTTAAATGGTGGAGGCAGGATTTGATCCCAGCACTTTCTCACTTCAAAGCCCAGGCTTTTTTCAGTTTGGTTAAGTTGCATCTTATTTGAGGGTTAGGTTCTAAAATCAATGTATGAGATAGAAACTGAATGTAGTCGAAATTGTCTTTGAAGTTCCCTTAGGAAGGTGGCACATTAGAGACTGACATACCACCTATCAGTGAATCCAACAGAATCAGGTTTGCCTCCAGTGTTTGGTTGGTTGAATAGCAGAAGAAGTAGTTTGCTCACGTTTGGGGGCCACTTCATGCCAAAAATTGTACAGCAGAGATGTACAGAGATGTTCGCACTGTGACAGGCATTCAGGTCGCTCCTCTCATGCTCACTCCAGGACAAATGTAGAACTGCTGCTACCATCTAAAGTGCTTGTGCTCTCTCCTTGCCTCCTCACTCCTTCCCCTTCCCTCGTCTCCCCTCCCCTCTTTTCTCTTTCTTTATTTCTTTTTTTCTCTTTTTCTCTTCCTCCCTCCCTCCCACCCTTGATTCCTAGTATCTGTATAATTTGTGTATCCAGCTACACATGAGCACACATAAATAAAACATGTATATGATGCAACATCCACTGTATACCATGGGGCTTAGCAGGTGCTACACTATCTCTGGTAGTACCATAAACCAAAGATTTTAAAGCAAATTGAGTGGCGATCCAGCCCCAAAACGATGAGATTTAGGCAAGGAAAATCAGATGATGTGACAGACTGAGCTGTCTTCCCTGCAGTCAGCTACTGAATAATTCTTTGTCATTTGGGCGTTGCCCCTTCTCTGTGCCCTAGGCGTCCTTGAAAGCGTCTGCCTAGCCTTGGAATCCTTAGACATAATTGCATGTCCTCGCTTCCCTCCCCAGCGGGGTTCTTTTGTTTCCAGAGTAGATGCGTACAGCCAAGGCTCTCCTGCAGCCTCCATCTCACTAGAGCTACTAGCTGCTCACTCTTTCTTGTGTTTCTTCCCCAGGTGCTCTGGCCTCCAAAAGCAAGAAGCCATGTGTTCAGTACCTGCCCCCTGAGAAGCCCTGTGACAGCCCTGCCTCTTCCCATGGCAGCATGCTGGACTCCCCAGCTACCCCCTCTGCAGCCTTGGCCTCACCGGCTGCCCCTGCTGCAACCCACTCAGAGCAAGCCCAGCCCTTGTCCCTCACCACCAAGCCAGAGACCCGGGCCCAGCTGGCTCTCCACTCGGCTACCTTCCTGTCAGCTAAGGCTGCAGCCACCTCCTCTGGCCAGCCCCCACTCCTCTCCCGGCCCCTCCCCCTCGGGTCCGTTCCCACGGCTCTGCTGACTTCTCCCCCTTCCTTCCCAGCCACGCTTCATGCCCACCAGGCCCTCCCAGTACTCCAGGCCCAGCCTCTTTCCTTGGTCACCAAGTCTGCCCACTAAGCTGCCCTGTGATCTATGCAGGCTGTCAGGTGACCCATCAAGTAGTAATGATACAGAAGTAAAAAAAAGGAAACTTTATTGGTCAATATTTGACCACTCTGGACTGTTCTGTAAAGTGACTGGTAACAGCAGCACTTTACATTTTGTAGATGTAACCAGTAGCTGACCTTAAGCTTTTTTAAAAAAACAAAAAACAAAAAACAACAACAACAACAACAAAAATCTTTAAAAGAAAAAGTACTGAAAAGTAGTGTGTCATTCTTCCTGTATGTGCAGTGGTGGATGGACCTGGGCAGAAGACCCTTTTCTCTCTACCTCTGGCACTTTCTGCCCTCCTCCCTCTTCTCATCGGCTCCACATGCCCCAGCTCCCGCATCCAGTCTGCATGGTGGCTGGCCATTGCTGCAATTTCTGTCCTGTTGCTTCTTTGTCTAGATCCCATTCCTGGACATTTCCTTTTATCTCACCGAAGTTTTTCTCTTTTGTTCAATTCTGTGAGTTTCTACCTTCATCTTCTTTGTCCCCTGCCCAGTGTAAGGCTGTCACCACATGAGAAGACACCTTTGCCTGGTTTGTCTCTACCAGCATCACCTTTCCCTCAGTAGGCCCTAACCTGCCAGCCTCCAGCTTCTGGTGGCAAAAGAGGCCTTCTGAAATGGTTCTTCCCCACATTTAAAGGGACTCAAGGTGCCTGCCACTTCCTTAGTGACGAAGTCTGTGTTCTGCCCCTTTGCCAGTCAAGATCTCCTTTTCACAGTCCCAGCATGGCATACAGGACCTGCTCCAAGGTCTGGTTCCTGTCTCCTGGGTCAGTGCCAGCACAGTCTGCCAAAGTTCTAAAGACCCTCCTCCCTCCCCCATCACCTCACGTGCTTCTATGTGTATTTCTTTTTGTTTTTATGGGGGTTTTTTTTTGAAGCAATTTAAACTCCCAATGAGCTGTTTATTTTCACAAAAGAAAATAAAATTGCAGTTGCAAGACCTTTTCTGAGTGTTTTAATCTTCTCGTTGAATCAAGCCCCCTTCATACCAAGCCCTGTGCTAGATTTTTGCAGATGTGCAAAGAGATTAGCACTTATTGATGGGGCATATAAAACATGCCTGACACAATTAGACAAATCCAACCCAGCTTTCAGCCTCAAATGTACATCAATCAGTCCGTATCGATAACTGAGATCCAAAGGGAGGAACTCTTTTGTTTTCATTTGTCTTCTTATAATTGCCAAGATGTGACGGACATCCTTTGTCTGCTTTGCATGGTATCCAGCACGGCAATTAATTTTTTTGTAACAGCTTTATTGAGATATAAGTCATATAACATGGAATTCACTCAAAGTATACAATTCAATGGTTTTTAATATGTTCAGAGTTGTAAATCCATCATAGTCGATTTTAGAACATTTTCATCACCTCGAAAAGAAATCTCATACATACCCTTTAGAAGGCACCCTCCATTTCCTCCAGCCCTAAGCAACAACTACTTTCTGTCTCTGGATTTGTCTGTTCTGGACATTTCATTTAAATGGAATAATGCAATATGTGGTCCTTTCTCACTTCTTTCAGCTATTGACTTGTCAAGGTTCATCCATGTTGTAGCACGTATCAGTAGTACTTCATTCTTTTTTTTAAATTGTGGTAAATATATGTAACAAAATTTGCCATTTTAACCTTTTTTAAGCGTACAATTCAGTGGCATTACTTACATTCACAATATTGTGTAACTATCACCACAAACTACTTCCAAAACTTCATCACCCCAAACGTAATCTCTATGACCATTTAAGCAATTACTCCCTAATTCCTCCTCCCCCAGCCCCTCTATTCTACTTTCTGTTTCTATGAATCTGCCTACTCTAAATATTTTATATAACTGGAATTATAAGACATTTATCCTTTTGTCCCTGGCTTATTTAACAGCATAATGTTTTCAAGGTTCATTCACATTGTAGAATGTATCAGAATTTCATTCTTTTAAGCCTTGATAAAATAATTTAGTCTTCCTTTTCTTTTTTATGAGTACTTGCCAGGTCTTTCATTCTACTCAGATATATATAGTTTGTTTTAATTGCAGTAAAATATATATAATATAAAATTCACCATTTAAAGTTTTTAAGCAGACAACTTAATGGTACATTTACAACACTATGCAACCATAACCATTATCAATCTCCAGAACTGTTTCATCATCCCAAACAGAAACTCTGTGCTCATTAAGCAATAACTTTACATTCCCTCCTCCCCCCAGACCTTAGGAAATTTTAATCTACTTTCTATTTTTATGAATTCTAGGTACCTCATATGAATAGAATCATACAATGTTTGTCCTTTTGTATCTGGCTTATTTCACTCCACACAATGTTTTCATGGTTCATCTATATCGTAGTGTGTACCAGACTGACTCCTTTTGATAGCTGAATAATAATCCATTGTATGTACATATCACATTTTGTTTATCCATTCATCTTTTGATGAATGCATGGATTGTTTCTACCTTTTGGCTATTGTGAGTAATACTGCTATAAACATTCACATACAAGTATAATGTTTGAGTCCCTGTTTTTAACTCTTTGGGTTATATACACCTAGGAGTGGAATTGCTGCGTCATATGGTAATTTTAATTTTTTGAGAAATTGCCAAACTTTTCCATAGCAGCTGCAACATTTTGTATTCCAACCAGCAAAATGTAGGGGTGCCAATTTCTCTACACCCTCACCAACACATTATTTTATGTTTTTCTGTTGTTATAGCCATCCCAGTAGGTGTAAAGTGGTACCTAGATGTGATTTTGATTTGCATTTACCTAACACGATGTTGAGTATCTATTCATATGCTTATTAACCAGTTGTCCTAGCACCATTTGTTGAAAAGACTATTCTTTCCCTCTTGTAGCTATGTTGGCTCACTTGTCAAAAATCAACTGACCACAAATGTAGAGGCTTATTTCACCTACATGTCTTTATGCCAGTATCATACTGTCCTAATTACTGTAGCTTTCTAGCAAGTTTTAAAATTAGGAAGTGTGAGTCCTCCAACTTAGTTCTTTTTCAAGCCTATTTTGGCTCTTCTGAGTTGCTTGCATTTTCATATGGATTTTAAGATAAGCTTGTCAATTTCTGCAAAGAGGCCAGCTGGGAATTTAATAGAGCTTGTTTTGGTAGATCAATTTGGGGAGCGTAGCCATCTTAACAAAATTGTCTTCCAATTCATGAACATCAGAGGTCTTTTTCATTTATTTAGGTCTTTACTTTCTTTCAATAATGTTTTATAGTCTTCAGAATATTAAGTTTTGCACTTCTTTTGTAAAATTTATTCCTAAGGATTTTATTCGTTTCGATACCATTGTAAATGAAATTACTTCTTTACATTTTCAGATTGTCCATTGTATAGAAATACAATTGATTTTTGTATATTGGTCTCACATTTTACAACCTTTCTAAACTCATTCTAATAAATTTTTAGAAAATTCTCAGGGTTTTTTATATACAAGATCATGTCATTTGCAAATATAGTTTTACTTCTTCCTTTCCAATTAGATGACTTTATTTCATTTTCTTGCCTGTGTGTCCTGACTACTTTCATCACAAAGTTGAATAGATGTGGTGAGAGTAGACATCATGGTCTGTTCTTTATCTCAAGGGGAAAGCATCCAGTCTCTTATCATCGTATGTTAGTTGCAAGGTTTTTGTACCTGCCCCTTTTCAGGAAGTTCTTTTCTTTTTCTAGTTTGTTGTTTTATCATGAAAGGGTACAAGGAAATTTTAAGATTCGTTAAAATTACCTTCTACCACTCCCTTAAACCAAAATTGGTGTGAGCTAGCAGTTAGTGCTAAAATTTGCCTTTACTCCTATCCCAGATAGAAGCATGGCCTGGAGGAAAACCACAATTGAAATAGGTGCCCCTATAGATTCATGGTGCCTAACATCAGCCAGGCCCTCAACGCCACTCATTTATTACACTTGTCATTTGTCCTGAGCCCCTCGACAACTCTTCATTGTTTTCAAGCCCCCAATTTAATCCCCACCTTCTCACTCAAAGACTGCTTTGCCTCTTAGAATATCAAGAAATTGAGGCCAGCTGAAATACTCTATTTTGATCTCCCACATCCCTACCTAACTATACCACCCTCTAACCATTCTAATTGCCTTCCCACAGGTCTCAAGGTCAAACCCTGGTTCAACTCAAGGTCAACTGCTCTACTGCCTCTAGACCCCAGTCCTTCATCTCTGTGTACCTTGTTCTACCAGTCATCATATCTGTCTTGTAATCTTGGTCACTCTGTCTAATTAGTTCTTCCCCTCAGTCAGTAAAAAAGTTCAATCCTTCCAGTATTGGAAACCCTCTGTTTCACATCCAAACTTCCAGAAAAGGTAGTTTCAACTTACCTTCCACCTTCCACTACTTACAACCACAACTAGGTTTTATTCTCACCACTCTACTGAAATATATAATTCTAAGTCCTTATCTTACTTCAACTCTGTGCTGTATTTGATAGTGTCGATTTCACTTTCCTTCTAGAAATTGGGACAATTGGGATTCCTCAAAGGATGTTGAATAAAGAAACTGGAAACAAGGAGATGATAGTGTCCTGGAAGACAAGCGACATGACTAGTTGTAGCACTAAAGCCACAAAAAAGCCTGTAAGATAAGAATTGTATGAGTGGTTTTACAACTTGCCTTATTTTCAGTTAAGCTATCATATGCACATAGATGCCTATAAAAAGGGGATAATCAACAAAATATTCATCATAATAGCTCAATTACAAGATTTTTATTTCCTTACTTTGGTTTTTCTTTATTGTTTAAATTTTTGTATAATTGTTACCATTGGGGCTATTGGAGTTTCGGTAACACACAGGTCTCAGTCCTTATCACTGTTGACGAAATGAAATTACACTCAGTTAATTATGAGAAGTGTTATTTATTAAAGGCACATTTTGAAGTATAAGATTGGTCAAGCCTAAAGCTGGCTAGCCACGCAGAAATGAGAATACTAACCCTGGTGGCGGGGAACGGGGCGGGGGGCAAGGGTTAAAGCACAGGTTACAACCAGGGGAGATAGCTGTAATGGCGGGGCAGGGCGGCGGTGGGGGGGGGCATCTGCGTTATAGTAGGGCTGTGATGGGTAGTTATAAAAGAGTTCTTAGGATTGGCACATGAGGTCATTTTGATGGATACTTGGCTGCGTAGCATATTTTGCCTAATGCCCATGCGCTTACCCAATTGGTACATGAGGTCATTTTGATGGATACTTGGCTGCGGTAGCATATTTTGCCTAATGCCCATGCGCTTACCCAGAATTCAGTCTGTTATAATTAGATTCCTGAACTTCCAGGCATAAACACAGTATTATAATGATGGCATAATGAGGCTGAGGTTGTGGGCAGGTTAGGGTAGTACCTTCTGTGCAGCCTCTGTGACCATTAAACCAGCTATAGATTATGGCCCTCCTCCTGTCCTTGGTCTCTAGGGATGCAGGAGGGATTCTCTAAGTACCAACAGGGTGTTTGGGGGGCAGTCTCTAGGCTAGGCCTCTATTCCCTTGTTCCCCTGTCGCTCATGTCTGACTAGCTACCTAACATAGTGAACATATTAATTATAATAATAATAACTTTTGGAAGACTTAACTATATGCTACTGTGTTAAATACTCTGCATTATCTAATTCTCAACACTTTTATTTCCATTTCATAATGAAAAAATTGATACTTAAAGCAATTAAGTAACTTGCCCAAAATCATGTGTATTACTTGTGCAATCAATTTTAAGGAAAACAGTTAAGGACTATTTTTCTCCTATCAAATTGGGAGATTAAGATTACTCACTGCTATCAAAGGTTGAGTAAGATAATAATAGCATGACCTTAAGCAAGTTGCTTAATCTTTTTGAGGATCTGTCTCCTCTTAAAATGCACCTAACCAGCATCTGGTAATAAATGTTACTAACAGTAGAAAATTGAAAATAATTTGGATTTCTAATAATAAGGGAACTGTCACAAAATTATGATAGTCATAAATTACTTTTCATGAAACCATTAACAATTATGTTTTTTGAACAATATTTAAATTAGTTATAAAAACAGTTCCTATGTTTTACCTTTGAACTCCATGCTCACATTTCCAACTACCTCCCTGATATCTCCACTTGACCATCTCACAGCATCTTAAATACATGACCAGAAGCAAATTCATTTTCTATGCCCCACCCCCATCAAATCTGGTTCTCTACATCTTCCTTGCCATCACCCCTCCACACCATAAGCAATCCATCTCCAAGGCCTGTTGGTATCACCTCCCAAATTTATTAAGTCCTACCACTTCTCTCCATTCTCACTGTTCCTATGCTAATCCTACTTGGACAATTGCAACAGTGTCCTAACTGACTAACTCCTAAGTCCAATCTTATCTACGTACCCCAAGACTAGATTCTTTACTCTACAACCAGATTAACCTTCAAAAAATTTCATGTCTGATTATATCTTTTTCCCTGCTTCAATATCTTTGATGGCTTCTTATTACCATGAAAATAAAATATAAAACCCTGGGTGTGGCCCACAAACTGCAGGATTTGGACCCTTCTTTCATCTCCTGCCAATAATGTGGACACAAGCTTAATAATTTGACATTCCCCTCCCTACACATACCCCCACTAAACCACTATCCTTTACTGCTAGTCAAATATTTATTTATGAGACTTGGAGAGAATTTCCTTTTAGAGATTCATTTACCAATTCATTTCCTTTAGCCAAAGCAGTCATGATTCTAAAAGAATTTGGCAAAAGATTTATCTTCTTTCTGATCCTTATTCTCTCCTCAGTAATGAGAGTGTGTGTGAGATTTTATTGAAACGCAGAAACATTGAGAAGCATATTAAAGGGTTTTTAAATAACACAATACTTGTCCCTGAAAACCATATTTATACCATCAACAGTCTTCAGAATTTCAAGTACTAGAAGTGAATGCAATGTAACCCAAATATTGTACTCAATAGACTACAGAGGAATGTTATTGCCCCTGGGGGCTGTGGTCCTTTTGGGTGGGATTACCTTTTGGCCTGAGTTAACTGGCACATTTTCTACTGCACTTTTGTGTCCCATAAAGATTTATGTTCTGGACAACTTCCAAATCATTTACTCTTTAATCTGGCTCTGTCCAATCTCATCCCCTGCCATCCTCCTTGTTCTCTGTTATCTGACATTCCTATTCTCACCTTTGGATTTACACAAAATATCAGCTTCCCACTTGCCTCTCCAGGCCTTTGTACCTCCTGTACACTCAGCCAGGAAAGCTCATCCTCCCTGCAGCCTTATCTGGAAAATACCTATACTCTTTGGTCCTCAGCTCAAAGGTCCTTTCTGAGAAGAGCACAGTTTCTGTACTTTTGTTTTTTGGCATTTCTTGGAACACACACACACACATGCACACACACTCGTGTAAATATTTGATTAATATTTGTGTGTCCTACTAGATTACATGTTCCATTAAGTTAGGGCTGATCATTTTTTAAATCACTGTCTACAAAGCACCTAGCCTGGCCAATGTTCATAAAACAATTTCAAGAAACAGTAATTTTAAACAGTAAAAAGTAATTTTAATACAAAACTATTTACCCAATGATACCAATGTGGGAGAAAATGAATATGCATAGAAAAAGGACAGAGAAAGTATACTAAAGAGAGAAACATAAGTACACTTGTATGTTTTTTTTTTAAAACCCACTGAATGTAAACAATAAACTAATGTAGGTGGTAACCTGTGGAGAGGCCGGGAGCAAGAACTTTTTAATTTTTACTTAAAAAATCCCTCTTTGATTTTTAACCATTAAAATGTATTTTCTAATCAAAAATGTTAAATGCTTGCAAGACGGAAACACACACTGAAACATTAATAGTGATTATCCTGGAAGAGTGGGACAAAGATTTTGTTTCCTACTTCTATACGTTCATTAAATTTTCTACAGTGAATACGAACAGCTTTTATTATTAGAAAAGGAATATACTCTTTAAGAAAAAAAGAACTTTGGCGACTTGGAGGGCAATTTCCATGGAGTTGGAAGAGGGGAGCGGCGATGCGAAGGCTCCCGCTATAAAGGTGACGGAATGGATTCTAGGAGAGAGATGAGCACAGCACGTCTGTGCGCTGCGGGAAAAGGATCACGAGAAAGGAGAAGTTAAAAATACGAGCAGAGGATGGGGAGAAGAGGCGCCCGGCCCCAGCGATGTCACTCCCGTGGGATAGTGCACAGGCCGAGGAGCTTAGAAGTACGAAGGGAAAGAAGGATATGGGGAGTGACGGTCTGTTGCCGAGGCTACGGAACAAAGAAACGGAGAAAAGGTGGACACGCCTTCCACAATGGTTGTAAAGCGCAACCACTGAGACATCTGACAACTCGAAGCACACCCGGACCGAGACAACGTAACTGCGCGCCTCCCCGCCTTTCCCCAAGCCCCTCCCCTCGTCCGGGCGGAGCTGCGGCGGGCGCACAGGAAGGGGCGGGGCTATGAATACTGAGTCTCTCCGCGGATCTCGCGACATCGGTAGATCGCGGAAGCGCAGTGTAAGCAGGATGCGGTTCCTGGTTGTGGTGGTCCTGTTGAGCGTTGCGGCGGCAGGTAAGACCCTCCTCATCTCCAAAAAACTTTCACTCATGGGTCACAGTCCCCATCTCCGTGGCTGGGCGCCATCGGAGCTTGCTTCTTCCCTGCCCGACTCACCCCTCCCGTCGCCATCATCCCCACCGCCACCGTTTGCCCGTTGCCCGGTTCTCTTAAGCCTTTGAGGATTCCTTTTTCCCAGCCTGCCTCTCTTCAGAGCCAACTAGTTTCTCTTTTTCAGGAGCCGTGCTGCCCAACCCTCCCTCATCAGCCGCCGAAAAACTCTTCAGTCTGGGAAAACGAGAGACTGCAGCAAGAAACTCCAACGCGCCTGCCTCAAGCCAGCTGTCTGAGGATCTCTACCCACCCACTCTGGAACATCATTCTGTGAAAGATAACCCTGCCAAGTTGAAGTCGCAGCACGAATCCACAGGAGAGGAATCCACAGGAGACAACTCGGGCAAATCAAATAAGGAGCACCAGTCTGGGAAAGATACTTCTGACAAGTCGGACCCAGAGCACCAGAACGCCAAAGATACTTCTGACAAGTCGGACCCAGAGCACCAGAACGCCAAAGATACTTCTGACAAGTCGGACCCAGAGCACCAGAACGCCAAAGATACTTCTGACAAGTCGGATCCGAAGCAGCAGTCCACCAAAGATACTTCTGACAAGTCGGATCCCGAGCAACAGTCCGCCAAAGATACATCTGATAAGTCGGATCTGGAGCATCAGTCTGCCAAAGATAGTTCTGGCAAGTCGGATCTGGAGCACCAGTCTGGGAAAGATACTTCTGACAAGTCGGATCCGGAGCAACAGTCCGCCAAAGATAGTTCTGACAAGTCGAATCCGGGGCATCAGTCTGGGAAAGATACTTCTGACAAGTCGGATCCAGAGCACCAGTCCGCCAAAGATATTTCTGGCAAGTCAGATGGGGAGCAGCAGTCCTCAAAAGACAATTCTGGCAAGTTGGATCTGGAGCACCAGTCCACGGAAGACAGAGCACCAGTCCGCCAAAGATATTTCTGGCAAGTCAGATGGGGAGCAGCAGTCCTCAAAAGACAATTCTGGCAAGTTGGATCTGGAGCACCAGTCCACGGAAGACGGCTCCAACAAGCCAGTCTCCAACCCCTCCTCTCATAACAAGGAGCCCACCAAGCCTGACTTAAGCACACTCACTGACAAAGGAGAGACCGCTCCTCATGCTTCCAGAACTGAATCTGGGGAAAGTGTATTACTGGACTCTGACTCCACTTCTCCCCAGCAGGAGGGAGAAAGTAAGTCTTCAAAACCTGCTGAAGACGTGAAGCCCAAGAAAACTGTGGAAGGTGATACAGAGCTTGAAGAGGGTTCTCCACCCAAAGAAAAAGAAGTGCTTGGCCCTGCCTCTAGAGGGAATCATGAGGGGACACTTTTGGATTCCATGAGTAATGAGAAGGACGACCTTTATAAAGACCATCTTGGAAGTGCCAGTGCAGAGAGCAGCCATTTCTTTGCATACTTGGTGACTGCAGCCATTCTTGTTGCTGTCCTCTATATTGCCTATCACAACAAGCGGAAGGTAAGTCAAGAGTTACCTTAAGAGAAATAGGATATTCTCCACCCTGAAAACTTGGTATATGGGCCAGTATCCATCATTCATCTATCTGCCTGTGAACACTGGGGATTTTAAGACACATTTCAGTTTTTTTTCAGACCCTGCTGGGCTCTACTCTTGTTTTGTAAATCATTTGTTTTCATGTCTGTTTCCTCTGAGTGCCCTCTGCTGCTGCATTTGGTGCCAAGTTAGGACATTTTTATGATCTGACCTGAATTGGGGTCTCCTCCCATAATCTTGAACTTAGATCCTAATTACAGTTTATAAGTAGTTAGAGCACCTATCTTCCTGTTTCCACTCTCAAGACAGTGCATCATTTCTAGCTTCCTCTGTAAGCATTATTTTCCATCTGCAGTGGCAGAAAGAATGGTTACGTAGTCTTCGACATCAACAGCAGAGAGCCCAGGGACTATCTTGTGCAATTAGTTTAATTTCTGATTAGAAGGAAGACCAGAAATTGCGTGGATACACTCATCTTTTACTTGGTTTGGTGTGAAGTAATATCTGTGTCGCTTGGCAATCACTCCAATGACAAAATGATTGCATTTCTTATTGAACTCTAAGAATTTAGTAGTTTCTGTAGCCTGATTAAAATTAGAGTTCAGTTCATGATGGCTGTAAGGCCTGTGGCTCTAAAGAATGAGGGAAGACATTTAGTTAAAATGGTGCATTCCTTATTCTACATCTAACATCATGGAGAATAACTTTAGGTATGAAATGAAAGAGGCAAGGTTAAGATAAAGCAAAGTATGGGGTGAAAGGGTACATTTGTAGAAAAGAAATAATTCCTTTAAAAAAAAAAAAAAGTCTTAGCCTGGAGCTCTCTAAAGAAGGAGTTGGCAGATCTTTGACTGTGTACTCTTGAGTAAATCAACTGACTCCCACAAGCTAGAGCCCAAACAGCCTTCCCCCATCTGCCGTTTCCTATTTAGCAGTATTAAGGATTCTAATGGAACCCTAGGCCCTGTCCTCCCTAAAACTGTTATAATTTAAATAGGCCTCTTTGTAGGTGTACTGCTCTTTTTGCTGTCAGGGTTATTAACAGACTGAAATACGTCATTATAGAGGCACTTGTTAATCATTTTCTTTTTCCTTTCCCCAGATTATTGCTTTTGTCCTGGAAGGAAAAAAATCCAAACTCACTCGGCGGCCAAAGGCCAGTGACTATCAGCGTTTGGACCAGAAGGTAAGAAGGAAGACCCAGGTCCATGCAAGGGATGTGCAGTCTCAGATGGGCCCAGCAGTGGACTTCCATGGGTGTGGCAGCAGCTACCATTGCTCCTGCCCTTTTCAGACACAGAGACATGTATACATGTACGATGTTAGCACTGAAGAGACCTTCAAGCACTCTACAGCAGCTCCCTTGATAGATGAAGAAACTCAGGCCCAAAAACATCATGAATTTTTTTCCCTAAGTTCCCACCTCAAATTCGTGGCAAAATCAAGACCTGATGGCAATTCCCTAGGCTCTTGTCCTGTTCTTTTTGTGCTATACCAGTTCTTCACAAATTTTAATAGGCATTTTGATAGAAAGCAAAATCTGATTCTCTAGGTTTGGGGTGGAGGCTATGCTTCTACATTTCTAGGAAGTTCCCATGTGGCTCCATATGCTGCTGGAACCACACTTTAGGGAGCAAAACACTAAACTACACTCCCTGAAAACAAGTCCAGGAACATATAGGCCTCCAACTTCCAGACCAGCCCTGCTAAGCACTGTGGACTAGATTTCCTTAGTACAGCCTCTGCCAGAAGCAAAGCCCTCCTTCTACCCTGCAGCAGCAGGAGCTGAGTAACGTTCTCCCAAGGGCAGCCTGAGTAAGCATGAACAGTGTACTCCCACTACCTTGCTGCCAGCATGCACCCTTCCTTTCTCCTGTGTAGCAACGGCAAGGGCAGGGCATTGGTAAAGAGTTGCAGGTGCCCTAACTGTGAGTTGTTCCCAGACTCCCTATAAGGAATACAATTCTTGTGCACAGCTTGTACCAGCTATAGAATAAGCCACTCAGCTTAGAACATCTTTGCTAATAGCCCAATAGGTCAGCTTCACAGTATGGTGCTGGCCTTGTACCTTCCCAGATACTTTAAGGATTTCTGCCCCGCCCCCCATTATAATTTTTCTGATTAAAAATATGCACATTTAAATAATTCAATATAGAATGGTATAAAATAGAAGCCAAGATTCTCATATTCCCTCTACTTAGTACCTTTCTACTGTTTTATTTCAAACTGACTTTTAAAGTAATTTTATGTGTTTCATTTTATCAATTGCTATTTGTATGGTGGAGAGTCAGTTTGTCTTAATTCTGAATTTTTGCCCTTAGCCGCAACTCTTGAGATCTTTTTCCCTTGAAATCATAGCCATAAGGTATATTTCTCTGGGGACAAAAAATGAATATTACCAATTATGTTTCTCTCATTTCAGATTTGATTTTTCTGTTTTTGAAAACTGTGT